TGCCGAAAAAAGGGCGCGGCGGTGCCTTGCGAGCGCAGCCACTGGGGCCCTCGGTGGAGCTCCCTATGGGGCCACGAAGCATGTGAGGGGTGTGCCAACATGGGTGCGGCGGTGCCATGCGAGCGCAGCCCACTGGGGCCCTCGGTGGAGCTCCCTATGGGGCCACGGAGCGTGCGATGGGTGCGCCAGAATTGGCGCGGTGGTGCCATGCGAGCGCAGCCACTGGGGCCCTCGGTGGAGCTCCCAATGGGGCCACGAAGCGTGTGCCGAAAAAAGGGCGCGGCGGTGCCATGCGAGCGCAGCCACTGGGGCCCTCGGTGGAGTTCCCTATGGGGCCACGAAGCATGTGAGTGGTGTGCCGAAATGGGCGCGGTGGTGCCGCGCGAGCGCAGCCACTGGGGCCCTCGGTGGAGCTCCCTATGGCGCCACAGAGCGTGTGAGGGGTGTGCCGAAATGGTTGACTGGTGCGGGGGGCAGAGGCAGGGATGGGAGGATGGGGAGGAGGGGGGGGGCGGGAGGAGGTGACGCGGGGCGCTGTGTCTTCAAAACGAGGACCCAACACCACCGTATGGTTGGGACAAAAGGCATCACTCGCTGAATGCTCCTCGCGGTAATCAAGCATGTTGCTACGGCTCACGGTTCACAGCGGTGTGTTCACGGCTTCCGACAATATCCCCCCGCACCAACTTGTGCATCACTGTTAAAATAAACATCGTCCTGAGGCACAGGACAGCCCAGAGGGCCCTTGAGGGCCTCAAGAGGCTCCCACGACAGTCTCAAGAGAGTTCCAAGACGGAGGAGAAGAGCCCAAGACGGCCCAAGAAAGCTCCAAGAGGACGCTACAGGAGCCAAGACAGCCCCAGGACGGCCCAGGTAGACCACATGAGAGCCTCTCGAGAAATCGGGACGAGAGGTGTCACATGTTACGGCCGTCTGGATGGCGCTCGAAGTGGCGCCACACACAGCGCTGCGCTAGCATGTTGGTGGCACTTACCACAGGCAGCTGGATACATCGAGCCCCATTGCCCGAAGATTGCTTGATGACTGCGCCGCAACCGACAGCCCGCACTGCAACTTTCGATGCTAATCGAACCTCTGCCGCTCGACATCGATGGATGACGAACTGTTTTGAACGCCGATGCAGCATCCCTGTCTTCAGCCTTACTGAAGGGGCCCCAGGACACACAAATAAATACACACAAATACAAATATTCCTAATATTTTCCAATATTTTCTGGGGTTTTGTCTTCCCCACCACTTCCCATATTTTCCTATATTTTCTGGGGAGTCGACGATTAATTGTGTCTGTGTGTTTCTTTCCCTCCTGAGCCTTACCGAGGTAGACCACACTTCTTTGTCGGCGGCGACGTGGCTCCAAGCCGCGGCCGGGACAGCGGGTGATGCACCGGTGCCAGATGGAGCGCAACGGGGGGGAAGGGAGGGCGCGAACAAGGGTTGGAGGGGGAGCCGCGGGCGGCGGAGCACGCTCAATAGGGGGCAAACAAACCTACCTCGCTTTTGACCACCCTCGCTTCCAAGAGATACCAAGCGATGCCAAACTACGGCCTGTACTGGTCAGGCCGCTTGACGAGGAGGCGCGTGGTATGACTTGGTTTTGCCTGGAAGCGAAAGCGGGGTAGGTAATTCACGCTCTGACTCAAAGCATGACATTCTCGTGCGAGCGTGAAGGCAGAGCACGTGCACACGCGTACACATCTGAGCTTAGCGTCGTGGCGGGTTTCAGAAACTCTGAACCCGAAAAGGTTGCTAATTCTTGGGGACGCATTTTCGTACTTCCACCAGCTTTCGCCAGCGGAGCCGCCCTCGTTTTGCTTGCGCCGCCTTCCGCCTTCCGCCGAGGAAGGGGCATCAACTCCTTCGATTCTCGAAGGCGAGGCACTTTCTGGAACGCCTCACGTGTAGCCCTGTCGGTAGCACCCCGCCCCAAGCCGCCTTCCAACACCGCACAGCCCATGTCAAATCGATGCCAGGAGGGCGCCGAGCGTCGAGCCTCCCATCGCCATAAGTGCCTGCAATATCTTACCCGCTGCTGTAGTTGTCAGACAGCACGGTCAATGTGCACTGCCAGATATGGCTCGCATGCGTTGTGCGAGATTTTCTTGAGGTATTTCTAATTGTGGTTAGCTTCGGTGAGGTAAGCGTCGTGCATCGTCCACGGTTTCCCCCACATCCTTCGTCGCTCGGGATCCCCGCAGCAATACGACCAGAAAAGCCTCGCTGCGTTCCTTCCCCCTTTCACGCTTTGGTTGACTTGGTGAGGACTGCTCCGGCCTTAGGTAAAGGCCTTTTGCCGCGGAAGGCGGCGCCGTTCTGCCCACACCCCTCGCACCCTGCTGATTTGGGACCGCTGGCCCTGGCGTCGTCATCGGCTCCTCTTTGGACTGCTATGACGACAAAGAAGGTCGGCTCGCCGTCCCTGGTGCCCGGCCGGGAGGGAGCTGTCGGACACGGTCTGGCGCGACCACTCCATCGGCCTTCGGAATTTTCAGGAGAACGAGCATCGTGTTGGGAGGAAAGGGTTGGGAGGACGAAGAGTATGAGCAATCGCATCCGGATGCAATGAACGATACCTTCGGCGGCCTACGGGTAATGATATCCTCATTTCTCCCAACCGCGTCCTCCCCCCCCCCGATCTCGGCATTCCTGGGTTTCTCGAGCTTCGGCGCTCGACCCTCACCTGCCTGGACGTCCTGGAGTCGCGGTCGGATCCCGTGGTCCGCGGCCACGGCGCCTCCCTCGCCCAGTCCGCACTGGCTCTGGTAAGCTCCAGGCCCCCCTCCCCAGCTGCGACTTCCACCCGACTTCGGTCTGATGTGCAGTAGGAGCTCGACCACAAGAAACCTTCCACCCCAGGACGTCCATTGATTTTTGGTGGGAACGTCACGCTTTCCATCGCAAAACCATCGAAACCCAAGAAGCCCAGGGCACCCTGGAGGCAAGCAGGGTGTTTCTTAGCACGGGTTTCCACTCTAGCTCCTTCACGCGACTCCCTGAAGGAGCCTCAGGGTGTCCTCACCTCACGCGTGGTGCTACTAGCACATGTTCTGTGCGTGCCTTAATCGTTTTGCCATCCTTCGCATCATCTCCCTGCTCTTCCAGCTCGTCTTATGTACAATGAATTTGGCTGCGGCCCGACACATGCTCTTTCGAATATGTCTGCCCCGTGGAGCTGGCAGCAGGCTTCGGCACCTGCACCTGGGCCCTTCGCCAAATCGGCTTATTCACACAGCGCGGACCAGTTGTCAGCACAACGTGGATTCTGTAGGGCACGCGGGGACAGGCTCGAACGCAATCTCTGCTCGAGCGCCTCGGCCACGACTGGGCGCCCGCCAAAGGGCTGCCCTGGCCGCGTCGCCTCTTCAAAAATATATCTGCCACGCGGCGCTGTTCGGCACCCGCAACCGGGCCCTTGGCCAAATCGGCATATTCCCATTGCAGGCGACCAGTTCTTCTGTACCGCACTCAGAAAGACTGCAGGATGCAATCGCAAGTGGGGTTGGGAGGCGGCTGGGGGGTCTGAATTGGATGGGACCCCAGAAATTGGTCAGGAGGGGGGATGAAGCCAAATCCGCTCAAAATCGGTCCCCGGACCCCTCCCGGGGTTCATCTGGTGTAGTTTTTCACTCCGGATTGGCTTTCAACGGTCGCGGGGTCCGGAAAGGGCACTCGGATATCCAAAAAAGCAATTATTATCCTGGCGAGGGGCCCAGCCATATGAAACTCCGGGCGCCGCGAGGCAAATGAGAAGAAACAGGGGGGGAGGAGTGAGGGGTGTGCCAACATGTGGCAGCTGCGCCATGTGGACTCTGCCACTCGGGCCTTGGATGGAGCTCCCTCTGGGGCCCCGGCGCGTGTGAGGGGTGTGCCGAATCAGATGTCGGTACGCCATGCGGACTCTGCCGCTGGGGCCCTCGGTGGAGCTTCGTGTGGGGCCACGAAACGTGTGAGGGGTGTGCCGAATCGGGTGCGGGTACGCCATGCGGACCCTGCCGCTGGGGCCTTCGGTGGCGCTGCCTGTGGGGCCACGGGCCATGTGAAGGGTGTGCCGAAGCTGATGGCGATGCCGGTGATGGTAACGGCGATGTTGATGACGATGGTGGTGATGATGACGGCGATGATGATGCTGCTGCTGATAATGATGATGACGGTGGTGGTGATGATGACGACGACGATGAAAAGATGACGACGGCGGTGATGATGATGATGATGCTGATACTGATACTGATGATGATGATGATGATGATGATGATGATGATGATGATGATGATGATGATGATGATGATGATGATGATGATGATGATATGATGATGATGATGATGATGATGATGATGATGATGATGATGATGATGATGATGATGATGATACTGGTGATGCTGATTATGATTATGATTATGATGATGGTGGTGGTGATACTGGTGATGATGATTGTGACGATGGCGATGCCGATGACGGTGGCGATGATGATGCTGATGATGATGATGATGCTGATAATGATGATGCTGGTGGTGATGATGTTAATGATGCTGATGGTAATGATGATGCTGATGTCCACGAGGATTAGGATGACGATGATGATGATGATGCTGATGATGCTGCTGCTGCTGCTGATGATGATGATGATGATGATGCTGATGCTGATGATGATGATGGCGATGGCGACGAGGAGGGCAGAGGCAAGGATGGGGGAGGAGAGAGGAGGGGGAGGAGGAGGAGGAGGAGGAGGAGGAGGAGGAGGAGGAGGAGGAGGAGGATGAGGAGGAGGATGTGGAGGAGAGGAGAGGGGAGGAGAGGTGAGGGGAGGAGAGGGACGAGGGGCGCTGTCTCTTCAAGACGAGGACCCAACACCACAAGATGGTTGGGAGAAACAACTTCCTCAACCCTCGAACCTGCCCGCCATGCCTGCTCGCTGGGACCAATGCTGGGCCACCTCAGACCCCCAGCCGACTCCAAAGCCCCAAACCCTGGCCCTTCGCCAAATCGGCTTATCCGCGCAGAGCGCACCCAGTTATTTTGTAGTGCACTCAGAAGCACTGCAGGATGCAATCATAAGTGTAGTGCGGTAGGTTCTTGCGGCGTCGGCGCGCGCAAAGGTTTTTGACACCGCTTCGATCGTTCAACCTTGAATCGATCGCGGCCCCGATCGTTCAAATATAAATTCAGTGGGGTCCAGTTGAAGGGGCCCTGGGACACACAAATAAATACACACAAATAAAAAGGTTCCCCATATTTCCCAATATTTTCTGGGTTTTTGTCTTCCCGCCCAATTCCCATATTTTCCAATATTTTCTTGGGGATCGACGATTAATTGTGTCTGTGCTTTTTTCTCTCCTGACCAGTGGCGTTGCCGTGTCCATCGGTGCTTCCACGTCGCAGAATTCAACTTTGAACGCTCTCGCCGGCGTCGCCGGCGCGCCAACGCCGCATGGACCGACCGTGAGCTGCTTCGCGGACCCCCCGCTCTGAGCCGGTGGTTCAGAGATGGGGTCCTGAGCGATGGGGTCCTACGGACGAGGTGCCTCAAATAATGTGCATCCACCGTTGGATCCCTTCCTGTCCTCAGGGCCCCATCCCTCAGGACCCCATCTCTGAACCACCGATGAAGATCCCCCCCCCTCTCGTCCGACGCGACGAGGGCGGGGGTCAGCGGCAGCGATAGGGGGGGATAGGCTCCGCGGGGGAGGCATCGACCCCCAATCGCCCACTCATTGCCGATAGGGGCCCGATACAGTCGGCCCGTATCAGAAGGATGCGCGACAAGGATGCGAGGGCCTTGGAGGGCCGCTCCAAAGCTTTTCGAGCGGGGCGCGGCCAACGAAACTGGCCAAGGATGGGCCGAGGAGGCAAGTATGCAAAGGTACCCTTGGGAAGGTTGCCCATCCTTGCTATGCGGGTTTACTGGAGCCCCCACCCCGCCCAGGAGCGTGCGGATTCGCCATCCCCGGCCCTTCGCCGAGCTATCGGCGAGGTATCGCCGATTCCAGCTCGACGGCTCCCCCCCGTGAGCTGGGGATCCCTCGGATCTGCCCGGCCGTAGGGCATCTCGGGGGCAGCGCGGCGCGGCTCCTCCGCAGACCCCGGCCGGCTTTCCGATGGTGCGCGCGCTGCGCTGGACCCGTGGCGGGGATCCACAGCGGCTCCGCGAGTCACATCCCATCAGTATCATCATCATCATCATCATCATCATCATCATCATCATCATCATCATCATCATCATCATCGTCATCATCATCATCATCATCAGCATCATCACCATCATCATCATCATTATTATCATCATCATGTTCATCAACATCATAATCATAATCATCATCATCATAATTCTCATCACCATCATCGTCATCGTCACGATCATCATCGTCATTATTATCATCATCTTAATCATTATCATTAGCATCAGCATCAGCATCACCACCATCATCATCTTCATCATCGTCATCATCATCGTCATCGTCATCATCATCATCGTCGTCGTCGACGTCATCGTCATCGTCATCGTCGTCATCATCATTGCCGACGCCATCATCATCGTCGTCATCATCATCGTCATTGTCATGGTGATCGTCATCATCGTCATCATCGTCATCATCATCAACATCATCATCGTCATCATCATCGTCGTCATCAGCATCGTCTTCGTAACCATCATCGTCATCATCGTCATCGTCATCACCATAATCACCACCACGTCATCGTCATCATCGTCGTCACGTCATGGTCATCATGGTTGCGTGGTAATCAACCTCTGGCCAACCAAAACATGACTGCCCGTGTTGCCCATAACTTGAAAAATCTCTGCCGCTATATTGTTTCTTGTGAACTTCGTCCAGATCGCAGAGCATGGGAGGGGGGCCGGGAAGAAACATGCCGCTCCTGGACATAAACCTTATCCCGACTTGTGGCCGCCACGATCGCCGCGGCGACATCCAAAAGCGACCCGGAGGCTTGATTTGGGGTCGGATATCATGCGGGTCGGATACCACGCAACTATACGAGTCCCATTCTTGATCGACGCCCTCCATCTATGAATGTCGTAAGTCGCAACGGATACGTAGGGATGTGTTGAAGAACTGTGTCTGTGCACCCACTGTGCTGCGGGCCTTCACAGCAGCGTCGCTCTCGCCACGGCTCCACCCCAACAAGAAAGACGCGCTGCCCTAATCGCAGAGACCACATGGCCAGAGATTCCTTGATGTCTGTGTGGCAAAGTCGCCTCCAAGCAACCCACAGCACAGCCAAAGGCCAAGTGTTGCACGACCTGGCGGGCAATTCTCAATCCCGCTTCAATCGCTCAGTTGCTAATTCGATGCTTACTTTCTAGATGCGCAATTTTGCGCGGGAGGCGCGCGCGCACAAAGTCGCCGCCATTGGGGCCACTGGCCCGGGTCACCATGGCAACCTAACATACGTATCGCATGGTTAAGCTTACCTCTGCGACTCCATCGCCCATCGCCCCAGCTTCTGCGCTCGTCTCTCCCACTTCGGCTCCCCCGCATAGCTGGTGCTCTCATCTCTGCGACTCGGCTTTCGCCTAGAGCTATGGTCAGCTGAAGTGAAGATGGGTCGGTATCACACATGACATCTATGGCAAAAAAGTGAGGGCGCCCAGCAACGGGCTACGATGCAACTCGAACGATTGAAAAAAGCGTGCATCGATTCATAACACAAAAGAAGAGCCTGCTCCTCGAGGCACGAGGTGGAGTGTTTTCAAGTCCGCAGGAGCCTTCAATCCCCATGTTTTCCACCCCAAGGGATCTCGAGAGGGCCCGCTGAGTTACCGAAGCCTTGGACACCACCAGAGCCACTATCCCTGCGGCTCCTTAGCCTGTGCCAAAGGCCGTGCGACGGGACACACAGAGTCCTCAATCCCAAATGATGGCAATTGTAAGCGCTGATCACGGGGCCCAAGGGCCCGAAACTGGGTTTCCTGGGGGTGTTCACGTGGCTCTCGGGGTGTTCCGTGTACGTTTTGGGTTAAGACGCACGGCTTTCCCAGAGGTTACGTAGGGGGCGCCAGCCAGGGCCACGAGACCAAGAAGGTGCTAGGAGGCACTCACGACCATCCACGAGGGCTCCGAGACGAGCGCTTCAAGACGCCCAAGATGGACTGAAGACGGTCCTAAAGGCTCCCAAGACGCTATGCGAGCGCCACTGGCGGAGCCCCAAGAGGACCCCGAACAGACAAACATCATTGATTCCCTTTGCACTTTTGACGGATTCTAGTGTTATCGCCTGTTCGGGCTTCCGAACGCCCAAGACGGCCCAAGAGGCCGCAAGATCACCCCAATATGATGCAAGAGGAACCCAAGAGGCCCCAAAGATTTCCAACGAGGGTCCTAAGACCCCAAGATTTCCCAAGAGGGTCCTAAGACGGCCCACTATGACCCCTCACGAAGGCCCAAGAGGCCGCCAAGAGAGGGAACCCGAAGTCCCAAAGATGGCTCCTGAAACCACCTGTAGGCACGCACGACGCCCCCAAGACGCCCCAAGAGGCCGCCAAGAGGCCGCCAAGAGGCCCCACGAGGCCCCGATAAGCTCCCGAGAAGCCTCCCAAGAGCCCTCCGAGAGGCCCGCGAGTTGCATCCCAGTACGTCCGAAGATGCACCCAGGTGGCCTCCGACCCACAACCCAGGCACCGTGGCGAGGCCATTCGGAAGATTTGAAAAGCGTGTATTTGCGGAGAGCACCCGCGATTAAAAAATGAGGCCATGGTCTAACAAATATGATGAGGGGGCGATGCCCTGGCCTGACACGCCACAATCTAGCTGGTTCATCAGACTTTCGGCAACAGGGGAACATCTCAATCGGATTGATGCCTCACGCGATGTCGCAGCCACCGAAAGCCAAAGATGCCCACATTGGGCCCACGGGGCAACAAAAAATACACTCCCGGAGGCCTGCTGTGGATCTCCGCGGCCTCGGATTCCGTCCAGCTGCTCGCCAACCTCAGGACGACGATGATGCCATGATAGGATTGGCTCGGGAGGCGTGTCAGGATATCCACGGATGTCCAGCGGCCCTCGCTTCTGCAGCCCGTGGGGAGGATTCGGAAATCTTGGAACGCCTGGACGTCTTGGAACGTATCATCGCCACGAACCCTTGCTCCCCTGAAGCCCGCTGCACAAAGCTCCTCGTCCTCAGCTGTGAGGGGCAACGATGAGGGGAGGTAGGCACAAGGGGGGAAACATCGACCTGGAATCGGCGATACGTCGCCGGTAGATCGGTGATGGGCTCCCGATAATGAAGTGCGTGGGCCCCGGAGGTCCGGACCACTTCTCCAGGGCCGGTTTTTCGGCCTGAGTCGCTTGTTGACGCTCCCGAAGCCTGGCGAGGGCCCCCAGAGGCCGAAAACGGCCAAAAACCGGCCGGTGCAATTTTTTCGGAGCGGCGGATCTCAGCCTGGGGCCCATCCCCCCCCCAGCGTTGCCCCCGAAGCTGCCCGCGTGGCGCGGATACCCGCTGCCCCTCGCCGACAGCGACCTGCCAGCCATGCTGGGGCGGCACAGCGCGGGCGCCTCCCCCCGCGGCAGTGCAGGCTGCCCGGCCGGTTCGCCGCCGCGCGGGCTCGGGCCCGTGCGGCACGGGGTCCTCCTGCGGCCGTCGAGGTGGAGCGGCGCGCTCCCCAGACCCCCTCGCGCGGTGACCAAAATCACGACGGGAGGTTTTCGTCGCTACTTTCGGCCTCTGGGGGCCCTTGCCGGGCCTCGGGGCCGTCAAGACGCGACTCAGGATGGAACACTGGTCCCTGGGAAGGGGTCCAGACATCTGGGGGTCGACGTCGTCAAAAGATCACGACGCCGGGGGTCTGGGTCCTGGGCGGGAGGGGCTCGCTGGTGGGGCGTACGCTGCCCGGCCAGGTGGGGGCCCGCTCGGCCTCGCCCGCGATGGCGCTGGCCAGACGGAGTCCCGTGCCCGCCACGGAGAGCTCCGGGGAGATCGCGAAGAGGTCGGAGGTCGCCTCGGCGGGGAGCTCCGAAGAGATCGCGAAGAGGTCGGAGGTCGCCTCGGTGCAGCTCGTGCGGTCGCTCACTGCCAAGCTGCCGGCCAACTCCATTCTGGGCCACGGCTCGGGCGCCGTGAACTCCCCCGCTGCGTGCCAGCCAGGCGTGCCGCTGCCGGGGCGAGGATCGGAGATCCCCGTGTCCACCTCGGGCAAGTGCCTGAAGTAGAGGAAGAACAAACGATACAAACATAAACTTTTCGCGCTCCGCGCGGATTTCTTGGATCTGCGCTGGACCCACCTCCCTGGCGCGTGGGGCGGCGCCAGAGGCGCCGCCCAGGGGGGCCCAGCGCGGATCCAAGAAATCCGCGCGGAGCGCCACAAGTTTATGCTTATGCCGTTTTGTCTTCTTCGATGAAGGCCAGGGGCGCGGGGGGCTCGGGAGGACGAAGCCCTGGGGGCCTGCGGATCCTGGGGAACCCCAAAAATACCGATACCGCTGCTCCCCGGACCTCTCCCGGGGTGCGTTCGGACCAGGATTTCGAGGCGAGTCCAGCGGTGGCGACGAGGGCCCACAAGGAGGCCCCAAAAGGGGAAAACGGACAAATGGTCGAGGTATGGGGTACCTTTCCCAGACCCCCGACGTCGTGATTTTCTCGCAACGTCGATCCCCAAATGTTTGGACCCCTTCCCCAGGACAGGTTTCTCATCCCGAGTCGTGTTTTGACGGTCCCGAGGCCCGGCAAGGGCCCCCAGAGGCCGAAAGTAGCGACAAACCTCCCGTCGTGTTTTTTCACAGCGCGAGGGGGTCTGGGTTTTCTCCTCTGGGATCCTGCCGCGGACGAGGACGTCGGAGCCCGGCGTGGCCCTGGCGTGGCCGCCGGGCGGTCTGCACAGAGGGGGGCGCTGGATCCACCCGCCTGCGCTGGGGCGCCCGCGGGCCCTCCTGGGGTGCGAAGGTGGCCTCGGTGCGGGCGCTGCGCCGGATGCCTCCGCCCACGCCAGCGCCGGCCTGGGTGGCGGAAGCTGATCGCTGACGGCCGGGAGGCGGACGGCCGCGAGGCTCGCCATCCTCGCGGGCGTGGCGTGGACGGCGCAGGGCGCTCACCTTGCCGTTTGCTAAGTGGAACCGAAAACACGGCTTGATCCCAAGAGCATAAGAAAGGCTGCTCGCGTGCTCCAGGAAGCATCTGATGCCTCTGTACAAACTGCAGAATCTGAAGACTGGCGCGAGCCGGGAAGCATGCGGAACTTCGCCGGCGGACCACCGCCCACCGGACTCGGCCACACACTCGCAGGAACCCCCGGCGCAAAACCCTTGCAGTCTCGGGAGCTGGGCAGCGAGACCGCCGACGGAAATCGGGCGGAACCCTCCGCCCAGTCTTTACAGCCTCCGCGAGGACCCGAAGCAAATCCCGAGAGTCGCCCTGCCGGCAAACAACCGATGCCCCCAGGGTTAGGCAAGCTCGGTTGTCGCATCTCGGGCTGAGCCGCGCTTCTGGAAACTCTGAAGACGCTGGCCTTTGCCTCCTGAGGGTGGTATTGCTTGGAGGCGGCAAGGGGTCTGAAGTGGTTGGAGCTCCAGAAAATCGGTCGGGAGATGAAGCCAGATCCGCTCAAAGTTGGTCCCAGGAGCCCTCCCAAGGTCCATCTTGTGGAGTTGTTCGCCCAATATTTGTTGTTGACGCTCGCGGGGCCCGGCCCCCAGGGGCCGAAAAAGACAAAACACCTTCCCGAACCCAGAACCTCGAACCTGCCCGCCCTTCCTGCTGGCCAGAAACAATGCTGGGCCACCTCAGATCTCCAGACGGCTCCAAGGTATTGATAGGTAACATCCCGCCCTCGCAGGTCAGATTTCGAAGCACCAGCAGGGGGCTCAGCACTTGAACGCTGTCTGCTACCAGGTGAGCCCTATATGGGGGCGTTCGGCAGCAGGCATCAATTGGACCCGCAGGGGTAGGGTTTGGAAGCGGTTGCGCAGTGGTTTTTGCAACAAAGCAACAGCACTCCCCTGCGACGGACGATGCTAAGACTGCAATGCACCAAGCGCCACGCAAGGACCACCCTGCACTAGGAGAGCCCGCACGCAAAACCTTGGCTCATGCAGCAAAGCGGAAAGATATCATCATGAGGACGAGGCCGAAGACGAAGGTCGCGTCATGGACTTACAGTCGGGAACTTTTGCTCAGCGTGTCGCGGCTGCGACCCCCGCGACAAGCTATGCCCTGCGAGAAGATGGCGTGTCGCTCCGCTCCGCGGGATGCTGGGAAAAACTCGTCACGTGGGGACGCTTGGGAACCGCGAAGTGGGCAGCGTGTCACGCCGAAGCCGCGGTGGGCCAGAAGCGGTGGAACGACACGCTGAGCCAAAGTTCCCGACCGAATCATGAGGACGAGGCCGAGAACGACGGTCACGTCGAAGGGAAGGAGGGGGAGGAGGAGGGGGAGGAATTGAGGAGGGAGGAGGGGGAGGATAGAGGGGAAGGAGGTACGGATGATGGAGTCGAGGAAAGGAGGAAGGTGGGGAGGAGGAGGAGGATGAGGAGGAGGAGCATGAAGAGGAGCATTAAGAGGAAGGAGGAGGGAGGAGGAGTAGGAGGAGGAGAAGGAGAAGGAGGGGAGGAGCGGGGATGCAGGAGAAGTGGGGTGAGCAAGGAATGAGGAGGAAGGAGAGGGGAGAAGGGGGAAGGTATGAGGCATGAGGAGATGAGGAGGAGAGGGAGAGGATGAGTAGGAGGAGGGAAGAGAAGGAGGAGGATGAGGAGAAGGAGGAGGAGGAGAAAAGGAGGAGAGAAAGGAAGAGGGAAAGGAGGATGAGGAGGATGATGAGGGTAGGAGGAGAAAAGTGAAGGGGAGGAGGAAGATGAGGAGGATGAGGAAGGTAGGAGTGAGAGGAAGGATGAGGAGGAGGGGATGAGGAGGAGGAATGAGAGGAGGAGTGGCGTATTCTTCGCCGTGATTCAGTTATGAGAGGAAAAGGGAGGAGGAAAGAGGAGGAGACGGACAAGGCTCCCGAACAATTTTTCTGAGGCTCCTCGCCGCCCCCCTTACGCCCGCATTTCCGCGGCCAGGCGCACTCTTGTAGCAGGCTTGCGTGCGACGCCCCCCCCCCCCCCCGAGTACCCGTCGTTACAAACGCCAACATCAATCGCCAGAAACCACGACAAGTAGCATTTTTGGTTCTTGTTGGGACAAATTCTTACTCGGGCGGCGGCGAGCGAGGGGGGCAAGTGAGAAGGAAAAGGCCTTCTCAGAAGGCTCGGAAGTCCCGCGGCCTCCTGAGAAGTTTTCTAAGCCTTCCCCGTAGACGCAGAAAGCTTCTCAGAAGGCGCGAGGGCTTCTGAGAAGTCCCGCCGCCTTCTGAGAAGGCCTTCTCCTTCTCACTTCCCCTCCTCGCTCGCCGCTGACTAACATCTACCGCCTCGGTTTAGTAGCCTTCAGTGGCCACTAACGGCCCTGAAGCGTATTATTGGAGTTGCCTCTAGTGGCCTCTTGGCGGCCTTTCGTGGCACCTAGCGGCCTTTGGCGGCCTTGAGTGGCCTTCGGTGGCCTCTTAGCGGCCACGACGAACATGAAACAACGTGTATTACGTATGTTTAAATCAGCTTCCCCAAAAGCTCACTGAACGAAATCCCTCTTCGAACCCGATTGATCTATGTGAGGGCCCATGGGGCCCAGACCGAGGCCCCGGCACCCTCTTGTCTTCGCGACGCCCGCGTCCTGGAGTTGGACCACGGGCAACTGCGCTCTCATCCTCCTCCCGCTCCTACTCCTTCCCCTATTCCCTCCTTCTTTCTTCTCCTCCCCGCTCCCCTGTTCCTCCCTCCTCCTCCTCCTCCTCCTCCTCCTCCTCCTCCTCCCTCCTCCTCCTCCTCCTCCTCCTCCTCCTCCCTCCTCCTTGTCTCGCGGGCAACCGAGATCACCGCCTCCCCCGCGAAGTAGCGTGTGCCCCCGAAGTCGGCGAGGTCGAGGGCGAAGCCGACAGCATGCCTCGGGGGGTGGCGGGCGCCGGCGTCTGCGGCCCTTGGCCTTTCACGCTGACCGTTACGCTCGCCTCTACCTCCCTGCCTCCTCCTACTCGTCCTCTTCCTCCTCCTCCTCCTCCTTGCTATTCTCCTTGTCCTTCTTTCTCCCCCACCAAGCTGATCCCCCACCCGATCGTCTTCGCCCTCGCACTCGTCGTCGTCATGGGTAAGGCTTGTCGGTGTTCTTCTTCTTCTTCTTCTTCTTCTTCTTCTTCTTCTTCTCCGCAAACCTTGTCGCCATTTGCTAAACTGAAGCATGAATCATCAAACACTTCCCCCAAGAACTGTTCGCCCTCAGGGCCTCGTACTTGTTTTTCGGAAAAACTGGGCGGGTGCGTTAAAGATTCGCAACGTTGCCGCCCGTTGCCGCCTGTGTGGGACTATGCCGAGCGTTCGCCGCAAGGCCGCCCGTTGCCGCCCGTTACCGCCTGTGGGGGTCTGCCGATGACTCGCCGCATTGTCGCTCTTCGCCGCCCGTGGCCACCTGTTCGGGTATGTCGAAGGTTCGTTCCGTTGCCGCCCGTTGTCGCGTCGTCGCCGCCTCGTGCGCTCTGGGGGTATGCCGAGGATTCGCCACGTTGCCGCCGGTTGCCGCTGGCGGGGGTACGCTGAGGGTTCGCCACGTTGCCGCCCGAAAATGCTCGCTGCCACCTGTGTGCGAATGTCGAAGATTCGCCGCTTTGCCGCCCGTTGCCGCTGGTGGGGGTACGCCAAGGATTCGCCACGTTGCCGCCCGTTGCCACCTGTAGGGCTATGCCGAGGATTCGCTACATTGCCGCCCGTTGCCACCCTTGCGGATATGGCGACGATTCGCCACGTTGCAACCCGTTGCCGCCTGTGGGCGTATGCCGAGGAGCCGCCAGGTTGCCACCAATTGCCGCCCGTTGCCGCCGAGGACACGCCAAGTTGCCGCATCATTGCCGTCTCGTCCGCTACGTGGGTATGCCGAGGGCTCGCCACGTTGCCGCCCATTGCCGCCCGTCAATGCTGCACTGGTTGTGTTCCACGCTGGCAGACATTTTGGGATGGTTTCCAACGTGTGGCCGTCGCGTGCGTGCCGCGCACATTGGTTTGACACATTCCAGCCAGCTACAAGGATGTACGAGGTGCATGTATATATATATATATACACATACTAATATATGTATAGCTATATTTATACATTTGTATGCATATATGTATGTATATATATATATATATATATAATTCGGATATTCGTCGAGTTTCGTGTTCGTGGTTCGAAAAGCTTTTGGGCGCCCCTCACCCCCAGGCGGCCCGAGGCGACCGAAAACGACACCTCTTCCTCGTCCTCCTCTTTCCCCCTGCTCTTGCTCCTCTCCTCCTACTCTTCCCCCTCCCCCTATCGTCCCCTGCTTTTCCCCCTCCCTCCTCCTCCGCCCCCTTCCTCCCCTCCTCCTCCTTGTCCTCCTCCTCATCCTCGTCTTCCTCCTCCTCCGCCTCCTCCTCCTTTACTCCTCCTCTTTCCACCTCCTCCTCCTCCTCCTCTTCCTCCTCCTCCTCCTCCTCGTCATCATCACCATCACCATCATCATCTTCATCAGTTCTCCTGCTCCTCCTCCTCCTCTCCTCCTCCTCCTCTCCTCCTCCTTCCCTCCTCCCCTCTCCTCTCCTCCTCCTCCTCCTTCCTCCTCGTCCTCCTCCTCCTCCCCCTCCTCCTCCTCCTCCTCCTCCTCCTCCTCCTCCTCTCACTCCTCCTTCTTCTGCTCCTTCTCCTCCTCCTGTTCAGACTACATGGCTCGCCAAACGGCACTGCGACGCCGCGCAAGCGTTGGGCCACATCGGATAAAGGGAACACTCGGGGAGGCCTCCCTCATACTCTTCCTCCTCCCTTTCTCCTCTTCCTCCACGTCCTCCTCCCCTCCTCTCCTCTCCTCCTCCTCCGCCCCCTCTCCTCCTCCTCCTCCCTCCCTCCTCCTCGTCCTCTCCTCCTCCTCCTCTCCTCCTCCCCTCCTCCCCTCCTCCTCCCCCCATCCTCCTCCCCCCTCCTCCTCCCTTCCTCCTCCTCCTCCTCCTCCATCAATCATCATCATCATCATCATCATCAACATCATCATCAATCATCTCGATCATCATCATCATCCTTACCATCAGCATCATCAAT